CCCCCTTGCTCGCTAAGTCCTGCGGTGCAGAAAAGCCAGCGGCGGGAACTGCAGCGGCTTCATGTCAACGTCACATCAGCTCTCCAGTGCCGGAGCGAGAACGGCATGGGGGGTGGGGGGGGGGCAGAGGGAAATAGGGGAAATCTAGCTGAAAACCTCATTTCCTCTCTCTGACAAAGGGCTTCCTTTGCCGGGACTGACACCTATCCTCTGCCGTGTTTTCTGTTGTTGTTGTCACGCTGGAATGCCTGGCGTGTGCGTGTCCGTGTGCATCTCATGCGAAACATGCACCCCCCCCCCACTGTCACTGAGAAGATCTGGGTCAGCGTATCGGCGAGCGTTTACCTTCACGTCTCACCCCTTGTCCTTCTTCTCCCGTTTCATCTCAGTCCCTTGTCACACCTCTTCCTGTGATGGTGGCCATCTCCCCTGCTGTCGCTCCCATCGGTTGGGCTTTAATTCATTCCTGCTCCTTTCCCCGATTATCAGTATTATTTCCTCTCCGGGTTCAGTCTGTTAGCGAGCTTATTTTTCCCATCAAATCGCTCAGTCAAAAGAAGCAGGCTGACTTGCTCTCCCTCTCTCTCTCTCTCTCTCTCCCCCTCTCTTTCCCTCCCTCTTCCTCTCTCTCTCTCTCTCTCTCTCTCTCTGTCTTGCTGTTTCTATTCCACACACATCACAGCTAAAGCCTCCCCCCCCCCAATCCACTACCACATCCCTGATTCCCCCCCCACCCCCCACCCCCCCCAACTCCACCTCCTCTGTCAAAAAGATGCAGCGATGACTGCAGGCAGGATGCTCTCTCGTTCTCTTCCTCTGGAGCTAATCTGCTGCACAGGCTGACGGTTGGGTGATTAGGGGAGTGAGATTAAGGCTCCGCTGAGGACGTGCCCCCCCCGAGTGCTCCTGGGGGCTCTTTCATGTGTCCGCGGCATTTTGTTGGGAGATCGTCACTGCGGTCCTCTCAGATGTTAGCAAATAGACAGAGTGTGCAATGGAATCTTGGGGGTTGCAGCTGAACTGGTGACGGTTCTCTTCAAGAAAACGACACACACCCACACACACACACACACAAACACACAAACACACACACCAGCAAATAACAGCGTATTACTTCACCACGGAACACACCCTCGCATCACCCGCTCAGTGCCATCGCGTTGTCATGTTGAGTCAGCAGCAAAATGTGAATTTTAGATTCTCTCTCAAGATTATTATGAAATTCTATTGTCACGCAGGGAGCTGCATCCTAAAACTGATGATATTCTTTAACTGGGCTGGTTTTGTTTTGAATGAATAGATTCCTTCATAAAAACAGAGAAAGGGCACCTACAAAACAATTAAATGCCATAAATATGCTATAAATTTCAGCAAAATAAATCAGAATAAAGCATAATACAAATACAGACCCTGAACCGTGACTCTGATATATGCTGAAGATATTCAGGGAAACTGTCCATTCAAAGGTACAAGGGATAAAACAGGCCTTTTGGACACAAACATCATCCATAATGTGCGGCGTTTTTCTGCTGCCCTATGATGTCAACAATTCAAGCAGCAGCAACTATGAAGCAGTTTTTGTGTTGTACAACTGGGTAAAACAGGACCCATCATACATCGTGGACATCTGATAGACTCTTATTATGAAAGGCTTCCAATTTTCCTCTAACAAGGCTAACAAATCTCAGTTTGTCCTTCAAAAACCAGAACCAGCTCATTAAGAACCTGTGAGTCGACGTGCAACATTCTCAAATCATTTCTGCACTCCTCGCCGCTATCGTCTAAATGCGAGTTAACAAGATGTGCTTTGGCCGCCAAGCTAGAAGTCCAGTTTATGTTTTTCACCCTCCAAGATAGCAGAGGTCGTCTTTCAGATCTCCAGAGTGGTGAAAAGCCCCGTGTGAGAGGTGCGTAGGGTTAGAAGTGAACAGACGCGGTGATGGAGGATGTGAGGACCTTAATACTGCTTGAACCCTTCCACCTTTCCATTGTGTCCTCACAATGAGCATCTGGTGAGGGACACACACCCCCACCTCCATTATTGAATGACCACCAAGTTCCCCCCCTCCACCAAAAACACCCCCCCCCCCCCCCCCCGCCTGTCCATATGGCCTTAGCCACGGGGTCAACGATCCTGGTCAAGCACATGACAGCGGGGGCTGGAGATGGGGGTGGTTTTTGTGTTTGTGTGTGGGGAGGGTAAGTGTGTTATGGGCAGAATTGTGTCTTCTAAAATTGGGTGGAGGAGGGGGTTGGGGGTTCTCTGTCCTCTAAAGGTGGGGAGTAACGGTGTGTCGATTTGACACGCATGGGATGCGACAGATACTCCAGCGTGTCATTCCCGCAGCCCCCCGCCTTGTCTCCCACACGTCCCTTTGTCTCCGCACCCTGCTCAAGCATGAGATGGGTATTTAGGAACATGCTGTCTGCGGTCTTCATCACACTCTTCTCCTGGAGGCCCCCATTCGCTCGCGCATCGCCTATTACGAACTACCTATCATGTGACCACCACCACAAAAAAAAAAAAAAAAAACTGGGTCTGAACCGGTACCGTGGCCTCCGGTGTCCCGCCCCCTCCGCTAAAGTGAAAACGCCTGCCGCCGTAGAACACTTACCACAAACACCACCACGGGATAATAATTCATTTGCCAGCTTTCATTCTAATTTCTAATTTACCTTTCATTACCCTGCGGCCACGTGAAAGAGGAACAGTAACGCAGAGCAGACTGACGATTAATATTCTATAGTTCATGCGCTAAACCTAACCTCTGTGGATCGGGGTTCAAATATAGCACGCATTAAAATCACAGAACAACGAAGCTGCGAGATGTACGATAGGCAATCGATATGTGTGCACTTGCGAGGCATGCACTGTCCTGACTGCCCATACATCATATCGCGTCCACCATAAATCACAGGGTAATTAATAACTGCCTTCAAACTTGTGCCTGTATCGAAGATGAGCGTCTGATAGATTTCCTGTCTTTCATTATGAGCCACAATTCAAAATAAAGAAGTTTAGACATCCTTGTACTATTTTGTATTTTGTAAACACCAGAATCATCAACTTATATCTGAAGAAGTGCTTTTCAGCTATGGTAATCTTAAAGAAAGTGTTTCAAAATAGATTCCATTTTGAATGGCACGAATCATATATTGGTTTGGTATAGGTTACTAATAACTAAAATTTTACCAAAGTACTGGTGGGTGACAGACTAATTCCTACCAAAAAAAGATTAAGGATATTAAATAAATTTAAACAATAAACGTTTATGCATTCATACACATACACAAACCAACCACCCATCCATGCATCAATCTCTCCGCCAGTCCGTTTTCTGTACCCGCTTGTCCTATTCAGGATTGCGGGGGGTCCGGAGCCTATCCCGGAAACTATAGGCACAAGGCAGGGAACAACCCAGGACGGGGCACCCGCCCATCGCAGGGCACACTCACACACAATTCACTCACACATTCATACACAAAGCAATATTATAATTTAATAGATAATACGGCAGTCGGAGTTACGCGTAATTTAACAGACACAAACCGTCTGCTGCTATACAGGTATGGGCGAATTGTAGGTAAATCCCAATGTGTTGCAAAATCCGTAATAGATATGACGATACCTTTCAAAAACTAGGCTGAGTAATAAATTCAACAAAACAGCTAAACACATTTTATTGTTAGGGCCTAATTGGTATATTTTGAGAAAAGGTGTCGAATTTACGAGTTTTTGTTTAATTCTCATAAATAACAATATAGGATAAGCCTGATGGACAGTCGACAAATATTGCAACTATTGTAGGCACATGTAATTGTAGTCAGTATTTAAATGGAAATCTGCTTCATGTCTAATTGGAATGAAAATAACTGCCCAGAATACAGGATTCATGCTCCCCGTCATCTCATTACTGTCAGTTTAGTTTAGTTCTAGATTAATATATAACTGGCTGAATTACGACACACTTGTGTAATAAATAGAGGGATGTTTGCGGTATATAACTTAAAATTCTATGCAATTAGACAAATAGGTTTCCATCACATGGTTTGTAATTTCTTAAAAATGCATCAATAGACCGCTACTATTTCAAGCCGCCGTCTCTTACGAAATACATTTTAAAGACAAAGGCGCCGCCTTGTGGTGGTTTGTCAAAATACAGAAAATCGAACGGTGCGGATTTTAGGGATGCAGGTTCACAGGTCATCCGGGCCTCCTGCTATAACGTAACAAGCGAGCGCAGTCATCGAAGTAGGTAGTACTAGTTAGGCTAGTTCCTCAGAATGCGATACGTTAATTAGTATTAAATAATACAGTAGCCTACTGCATTAAGTATGGACCTATGTAATCCACAAATAGCCTGCAACCGAAAATAAGAAACACTTTATCTAGACGTTAATCTAATGCGTAACTTTAGTTAATAAGGGCCTGATTTCACGCCAGCTTTAATGCAGACATGACCAGTGGCCTGTATTACGAAGCGGGGTTACTGGCTTATCGTGATAACTTGTCGGATTTAAGGTACCACAGTTTAAATGGACTTCATATTCGTTTACTTACATTTTGCCCAGACTACCTTAAATCCGACAATTTTCCCCAGTATAAGCCAGTAACCCCGCCTCGTAGTACAGGCCTCAGTTATCAAGACGCTGATCTGATTTTAGTGTAAGCATTCACTTGGAGGGCAGCTGCTGATTGTTTCATAATTTAAATAAATTAGTAGGTTATATTATCACTGCAACATAAGCCTACCTTTAAAAATTGTAATCTATAGGTACTATGCACAACTATTTTATATTACGTTACATATTAACCGACATGAATAATGTCTAAATATATAAAAGCGCTCATAATAATTATACAAATAGCGCAACATTGCTTTAGCCTTACTTAAATTTCTGTACTGGATTTTAGCAAGTTCCAAACTTAATATGCTCGAAAGAGTAAATGACAAATTGTTAAAGCAGTTTAGGGACAGACAGGCGTTTTTGTGACAACTTGTTAATTGACTATATAATGTCAGTGATAGAACCTACTTTAAAAACATTATTGTTGCTTTTCTTGGTGGCAAAAAAAATGTAACAATGTGCTCTTTGGCGTTATTTATTGATCTCTTGGCGTGGTAGACTATATAAAACAGAAGCCTATAGGGCTACGTTTTTTTTTGCAGCTTTATGCAAATATAGGTCAGAAAAGTCAGAGAGAGCGCGTGGCGGGGGCGCTATAGGTACACCTAGAACAATCCCAAGGGAAAAAGGGAAAGACGCTAAACCAGTGTCATCGACTTTGGTCAGCTGGCTGGCGTTAGATTTTCAATTCGAAACAAGTTTGCACAAGCTTTTAAAATGTGTGCAGCAGTTTTATTACCTTGTAAATAGTCTGTAGGGTTTGTAAACTACCCCAACGCCTTTGATGTAGCTAATTTTATGTTTATAATGCAATAATATAGATTTGCGGTAAGATTTCTTGCCTGAGAGTCTGAAAGCGTGAGTGTCACACCAAATACGTGAGTGTCACACCAAATATGTAAGAGCTGGCAAACCTGCGCTAAACTCGTCCGCCTGGATACGGCAGACGAGTTTGTAGTCTGCCCAGAAGTTTGTCGCTGGAGGATGTCTGCGTTGTAGAAACTGGAGACTGCGTGCAGTTATGGATTGCGCGTCAAAGACCAGCCGTCCTCCGGATTAAACTGGACAGGGACCAACTTGTTGTCATTTTCTCTCTAATATTCACTAATCTGATGTTCGAGATCGGATTTGTCGCCTTAAAACTTACCAAGTTATCCCTTCGGAGAGTTGGAAAATTATGTTTTCTAAAAGAAATGCCAGTTCCAATGTTTAATTAAATTCAGTATATTACGCATTTCCATCTACAAGGTTGGATTGGTTGAGGTGGCCTATTAGTAGGTGACTATGCAGTAGTCAATACATTAAATACAGGCCTAGGACTTTTGCATTGTTTTTGTTTGATTGTTCTCTAAAATGTATTATCCTTCAAAATGAGCATGTGAGTAAGACATTAATATATCTGGAAAATATATTCAGTAACTCTTGCGAGTTGCAACATCAGAATCAGAATCCAGATTTAATGAGATAATCAGATCATAATCAGATCAGATAATCTTTAATCCGGATCCACATTACTCCGTAAAAAAAAAAGTGTAAGTGCATTTAAAGCAGACATCAATATTTTGTACATACAAAATACTTAAATTCTTATGCTTCCAGGCTGGAGTCCAAACCCTGTAGTTTAAATTAAATGACCTGTAGATTTATGGCTAAGCTGGTGCTTATGCTTAGCCTATTTGCATATATTTTGTGAGGAAAAAGTGACATTTCCTCAAGCATATCTCAAAATTCATGTGAATTTTGATAATCCGATTACAAACATAAAATTGAGTGTACGTTGCGACGGCGCGCCCCTTTATAGAAGTGGCTGCGAGAAGGAAAAAAAAAGTTCATATTTTTTCCGCGTCGTAGTTTTAAAGAATTCGTTGCTTTACTGGGTCTCTTTAACCTTGTCACCCCCCCGAGCACACGTTAACTCCTATTGTACTCCCTGATAAATTAAGGAAAAGATACTGCACGTGCGCGCGCTGAAAGGGGCCCCATAGGACACAGGCAAACAAAGGATGCGGGGGCTCGGCGCGTGGCAGGGTCCGGTTCTGCACAATGACGGAGCACGCGTCCGGGGGAGGGAGGAGGCTGGGCGTGCCGTGGGGGGAGGAGGCCGAAGGCTGACATCTGTCGCACTAGTCCTTGGAGACCCCCGGCGTATCGTGTTGTCAAGGGGGCTGCCACTGAGTACTGCCCCTCAGCCATATGGGTTATCGGGCTTCCCGGTGCCTTTAAAAACTCCAGACAGAAGAATCAATCAGTTGAGAGCACTTAGCGGAGGGAGACGGATGTCTTTATGTTTGCTTAAGCTGGTGAAAGTTAAAAGCAGGTGTTGCTAGTGAGCGGCGTTTCAGCCAGTGTTACATTCCGATAGCCGCGATGCCGAAGGGGTTCCTGGTAAAGAGGACTAAGAAAACAGGTTCGGTCTGCTATAGGATGCGTGAGGAAGACCGCCTGGACCGAGCCTCTCCGTTGCATTACTGTGATGAAAAACCGGAGAGATCTGCAGTCCAGTTCTTGGATTGCAATAGACAGACCACGAAAATCAGAAGTCCGCTATGTTTCAGGGACATTACATCTTTCGTCCCACCTCCGCTATCAACTCCAGGATCCCCCCAACAGTCCCGATCTGGAAACCGCTTTGGCCGGACACTCTGCTCAAATCGCCCCTTCCGGGCAGAATCATTCCCCGAGCAGCAAGCGATCAGCTTCAAAACTTGCGAAACTCCGGCAGTATTTTCAGCATCTCTGGCAGAAATGACCAGCAAACTGGGCGCCGTGGGCAGCAAACCAGTGACTCCAGAATTCAGGCGACTAGCTTCTCCCAACGCCAGACTCAAACAGGTGAATCCGAGAAGACAGACGCTCTCAGCTCCCGGCGAGAAGCGACCGAACTGGGCGGACGAAGCTAGCACATCACCGGTGTTCGGGTTGCGCATCCTGGAGGATCCGGAGGTGGAAGTCAAGCAGCGGTCCAACACCAGCATCTCGCTGGGAGACTACATCTGTCAACTCTGCAAAGAGAGGTACTCAGATCCCCTAACTCTGGCGCAACATCAGTGTTCCCGTATAGTTCGGGTAGAGTACCGCTGCCCGGACTGTGAGAAAATCTTCAGCTGCCCGGCCAACCTGGCTTCGCACAGGCGCTGGCACAAGCCGAAAATCGCCCGGGGCGACGCGGATAAAACCAGCCTGCGTGCAATCGCTGTCCCAAACGCAAATATCCAGCATCCGCCGCCGTCCTCTCCAACACCTCCAGACTCGCACGCGGTGGAAAGCATGTCTTTTAACTGCACCCTTTGTTGCAAGATATTCCGACGAAGGTCCTACCTGAGGAAGCACCTTGCTGTGCACAGCAGAAGGACTGTGTTACAGCATAGCCGGGATCCCGCAGGGGAAAATCACGCAAGGCTCGATCAAACTGTCCCCAAGCACAGTTTCCATGTCTCTCCTCCTCTAAGTCTGAGACGGGAATCGCCAGTGGCTACAATACCTGACAGCAGTGATACGTACCCGTGTAGATTTTGCGGGGAAACATTTTTCTCCTCTCCTGGACTGACTCGACATATCAATAAATGTCACCCAGCAGAAACCAGGGAAGTAATATTTTTGCCACAGCGCGTTTGAGTCACGTCAAACAATACGACTTTTTTCGTCCATATAACTGTATTGGTATGGAAATGTACATTTTTTTACTCGCAAAAACGTAGATTTCGTAGAAACATGTCGGTCTGTATTCATACGTCACCTATGGATACATTAATCATTAGTGTATTTGTATTTTATATATGTATTTATTTATGTGTCTATTTATTACTTATCGTATAATTGGAAAGGTTGCCGGAGTTGTTATTATTAAACTACTAACATGTAGCTTTCAACTGTGCTTGGTTTAAACATATAAATTGTTTTATACGGTTATGCTAAATGTTGACTTGTTTATAGCAGTACGGATATATCACTGACCTATGTGAATTTCATCAGGGGAAAATTGCGTTGCCTATAGGCTTAATACATGCGAATAAAGTAGACAATTAAAAGTTCCTTTGTATTGTTTAATTATTGCTTACATCCCTTTGCAGACGCACATTCCCGGGCACGAACTTAAATCCATATGCAGTATTGATTAGTGAAACATTCCCTTCATATTTACTAAAGAGCGACCCTCTGTCCACTCTGACACAGTGTAAGTTTATTAGTCATCGGTGGGCTACAATTACGGAAAAACAGAACTTCTCGAGTAGCACCATTGCGACCAGATGCCACCAGTTCAGTTACCGCTAATGGTACAGCGCTACCGCGAAAACAACGCTAACTTGGGGCTTTCTTCGGTAAATCGAGGGTTTTAATGTCACCGCCTGCCTAAACTACCCACATTATCTCTAAGAGGCTGAAATTAAATAGACCTCTAGAGGATTGCGGGGATGTAAGTACTATAGGTTCTTTACTCTGAATTCTCCAAATCGTACTAACGTAAAAAGTGTAAATATGGCGCCTGGCTATGTCACATGATGTTGCTGGTCACTAGACACCAAGCCAGTGCCAAATTCATACACCCCATCTGATCTGTATGTGGGGGTGGGGGGTTATGTGTATGCAGCAGGGAGGCTGGAAAAACAGCCAAACAGTGTACTTTGGCAGAAACAGCTTGTAGCGGGCAATGTTTATCAACTGAGGCAGAAGATGGAAGGCTGTTTTTAAAGCAATGTTATTGTAAAAGGGAGTCCATGAGAATTGTGGGTAATGCTTTTTGTCATTTAAAAATACTCACCGCGATAGTTAGTCTGTTGCCATATTGTACAGACTCATAAGGCCTTGCACTTTAAAATTGAGGGCAGGGTAAATGGGGAGAGAGAAAGGAAATTTTAATAAACAAAGGGCTGACAGCGTGTTACATCATCCCAGACAAAGACATCACCCAGCACTGCGTCTCCACGCGCACAAACTCTCTGACAACATGAGGCTGTTTAAGCGCAATGCACGCCTTCTGAGGAAATGTCGGCCTGCTACGGCGAAAAGGCCTGACCCTTGGGGTCAGCTGCTATCCGTCTGGGTCGCTCCTCCAACTGTCGGCAGGCCGGCAGTGACCAGCTGGGGGGTGGGGGGTTTAACCTTGACTGGGTTTCGGTGCGAAGGTGAGACTGGTAGTCTGGTGCCTCAACAAAGGCGAAACGAGTTATGCCATTTATGAGGGCAGAGTGTAAGACGTCTGAAATGCCAAATATGAATGAAAATGCAGAGGGACTTGTTTCTTGGGAAAAGGGTAAAAGTACAAGGCGAAAACTAGTGCTTGGACCCCTAATGAAAGTCGGGGACCAAAAGAAAAAGCCACTAGATACTGCATTTATTCTAATATGGGTTTAAATGTAGAGCTTCTCTCTGCTGAGAGCAGTGAAGAATGGTGTATGGGGGGGGGGCTATTCTGCTCAGAATCTGACTGCAAGAGCAACAGATGATCCTACTGCTAATTTTTTCCAAACATTTTTCTCTCTTGGGGGGTGGGGTGGGGTGGGGTGGGGTGGGTGGAGGTTTGCAATAATTCAGTCTGGGTATTATGTTGTGGGAAATGTGTCATGCAGAACAAATCATGGCTGCAGAGACCGGCCGACAGCCGGTTCGAGACGTACAATCATGGGATGCCTTGGCTGGAAAGCAAGCTTTGCATTTGTCATGTGGACATGGTGCATTTCACATAGATAGATAGATAGATAGATGGTTGATAGATAGATAGATAGATAGATAGATGATAGATAGATGATAGATAGATAGATAGATAGATAGATAGATAGATAAAAGTACCAGTTTGTACCTTTACTTGTCACTGGGGCTGTACCCTCAAGTGTAAATGTACCTTTCAGGAAGAGGAACATTTTTGTACCATTGATGGTACATTAATGTAATTTGTACCTTGGGGATGTTCCTCAGAGTCCATTTCTGTATGTTAAATTATACTACAAGGTACAATTACCTACAGCTAGGGTACAATTGCCAGACCCTTTAGGGTACAGCCCGAGTGACTAGCAAAGGTACAAATTGGTACTCTTTTTTCTGACAATGTAGATAGATGGATAGATAGATAATTTCTGAAGTAAACTGCAAGTTGACAGCAGCACCACACACATTCATATGTAAAGCAGGGCAGAAAAGAGACCTTTCGGTTACCTCCAGTGAGCAGGCCATGGAGGTTGGGCGGCATGGGGCAAATTTCTTGTTGGGGCAGATAGGGGGTTGGGGCTCCAGAAACAGATGCTTTCAAGGAGACTTTGGATTGGGGGCGGGGTCGGGGGGGCATAGAGGGATTTTCAGAGACAGGGGCTCAGCAGACCCAGCGACAGGCGTCCAACTGCCCCTGACACATCAGCTGGGCCAGAAGGTTCATTCATAAGAGTCGGTCTGGAATCCCCGGGGGCCGGCAAGCCGACAGTCCCCAGCTCTCCCTTTGTTTTGTTCCTTCAGCCCCAAGAGGACAATGTAACACCCTCAGTAAATGAGGATATTATGGCCCATTCCTGCCTTCAGTCTCAAAGTTAATTCACCACATTCCATTTCCTGCTGGTCCAACGACATGGGGCATTTTAACCCACAAAAAAGCTAGTAATCATTTAGAAGGACACTTGCCTTTGCAAGGACTCGGCAATTCATTTTTTTTCAGGGCACAAACAAGATGTTAAAATTCATTAAAATACAATGTGATTGACTAATCTCATTATCCGTCTATTCCCGTTCTCTCAAATACAATCATTTTAAGTCAGTCTTTATTTGAATGAGCATTATTAAAATTAAATAAATTAAATTAAATTAAATAAATGTGCCTCTGAAAACAAACTTGGGTCATTTATTAGCATAATTCACTGGCTTTCTGCTGGGGAAATTTATGCATTTATATTCATCAAATTTAAATGCAGATGAATGTTTTTCTCCGTAACCGAGACTGTTCCTCGGGGGCTTGTGTTTTTTTTTGTGCGTGTGTACATATTAATGTACAAGGGTTTGAGCGATGGCGGTACAAAGGAGGTCCCCAACCAACTGGCCAGCGTCAGATTGCCAAGCCTGAAAAGACAATAAGGCGCGCGCGCGTGTACTCCTCTAACCAAAGGCGCGGAGTATGATGCCGAAGGAGACGCCGTTGAATAATTATTTAACGACTCAGCACAGCCTCCCCCCCCCCCTTTTTTTTTCAAACACACAATAGAGCACCGTGACAGCCGCATCTGCTCTCGTTTCAATGGCTTCCTGCGATCTATACACAAACCCAAGCCTAAAATTCCGTTGGAAAATGTTAACTAAATGAATAACGCCACAATAAAATACAATCTGCAAAATTCAGCGCATCTGCAACTCAACAGCAATCTTTTAACCTTACTATACAGACCTTTATTTATTCATTATGTATCATAGTCATTCATACAATAGATTAATTGAACATAAATACCACAAAGATTCTGTGAAAATGCAAAATCCGATAATAAAATTTACATGTACTTAAACTGTCAACTTTTAAAAATGAAAGTGTCAATGTTGTTAATATTATTTAAAAAGAACCCGAACACCTGCATTTTATAATAAATCGAATACCCCCGTTTCATTTTAAACATTCGAAACAGACGCTGATCTTTGGTTTGCGAGCAACGCCCCCGTGTGGCACAAGAACAAATCTACAGCCACCTAAAATATCACAGTTTATATCACAGTCGATTCCTAGGTTATGATTTCTTAATCCTGGCCCTAATGATATCAAAGTATGATGGTATTTAGCCTTCCAATAACTCAAAATGAGTTGGATTAATTGAAAATTCGTCATATATAAAAAGACTAATTATTTTACGAAAGATTAAATAATTGAATGCACCATAACACTTTTCTTCACGATTATCACGTAAACCATGCAACTAACAGTTTTTACTCATATGAAGCGGCAAATGGTACGATTTTAGAGATCTAGCCACTGTTACAACCGTGGTTATAGGTATCACTCGACTGCAAATAGTTTTATTCATGAAGACTGAAAAAGATAATAGGGAACCATCTAGAAAATCCAGGAAATCCAACAGGTTCAAGTACAGGTTCAAGTCTGAACAACCCGAGGGAACTGTAACTCAATTTTTTTTTCTCTCAGAATTGAATCAAAATAAATAATGTAAAGTTAATGTAAATATATAAATACCGCGAAGATTAAAATACTCTGTTTTCTGTGTTATGTTACAGTAGTTCATAAAAAAGTCAGTGAAGCCTGGAACATTTTTATCGTATCGATCGATATCTTAAAAGCGCTTTTTGCTTCCCGAAAGGGCGGAAGTACTTGTATACAGCGTGTATTTGTAAGCCGTGAAGTGATGACAGAAACCAAGCTGTATCTTTTACACGCATGTTTTGCAGATGTACACAAGACATGTTGACTCTGTTTCACAACTGCAAGAACTTGTCCTTAATTCTTGTGATTTTGCTCACCATGAGCGTGTTAGGAACCAGTATACTTGTTTTGCGTTACGATGCTAAAACGAAGCCATACATACAGTCTCCGGTAATATTGTCACTTATCTGTTATCTTATCTGTACTTGAAGTAGAACAGCAGAAAGTACAAATCCAGACCAAGATTTTGTTTGAACCAGCCAGTTGAGTACTCTATGACTGTGACTCTTTATACCAGGGCTCTAAAAATCTGGACCCCAAACCCAAATCCAGGCCTAGTTTTCAGTTCTCTCAGGAAGTTAGTTTAATAATGACTGATTCTGTTCGGCCATAGAAGCTTCACACCTGGCTCATGGGTTAAGGAAGCCTGG